TCCGCAGATACAAGATTCAGAGAGATGCCAAGTTCAAAGGTTCAAGCCTGTGCGGTCCGCGGTCGAGTTTGTGTGGACCGCGCTAGAAGCCTCCGCGGCCGTAGTCCATTTTGTGCGGTCCGCGAAGCCTGGGTTCAGATAGTCAAGATTGCAAGCTCAAGAGCCTAGTGAGACCTCACACCATTTTGTGCGGTCCTCACTAAACCCGCAGGGGAAATTTTGTCCAGTTTTTCCAGCTTAGTATAAATAGAACCTTTTTCCATTTTTAGGGTATCAGATATTATTAGACGTTAGCTGCACTCATGAGAAGACTTTTCTTAGCCATTTTGGGCATTTTTACTTATTTNTAGACGTTAGTTGCGCTCGTGAGAAGACTTTTCTTAGTCATTTTGGGCATTTTTACTTAGTTTTTATCACTGAATCTTTGTATTTACCTTAGCAATTAATTAATATGTCTTTATCTTCATCCATTTCTCTGTTTTTTCTCTTCAAGCATGAGTAGTTAAACCCATTAGCTTAGGTTGTGGCTCAACCCTAGTGTGGGTAATTGATGGATGTTGTAATTTAAGGTTGTTTGACTATGAGTGTTTGTTATTTGGGTCAATTTCATGGTTTAATATATGAATTAGTGGTTACAAATACTAGTTTGTACTAAGTTGACTTGGGTTCTTCTTGAGAAAGAGAGCGTAAGTCTCCGAAATTGACCCAACAAGGAATTGGGATGGACTCAAGAGAATTGATAGTCCCAACTAAAGGGTTAAACCTCAAGAGAGTAATACCCGACTTGAACCACAGTTGCTTGAGCAAATGTTCCTACCCTATTGGTCTTGAGAAAGTCAATTGGGCGAAATCACTATCTCTACCGAGAGGTGTGAGAGTGGGTAAAATTGTGCAACGGCTATCACATATTCTCCAACCATGTCAATCATGCCTTATGTTCAATTACCCGTCAATTGTCCACCTAGGAGGATGCCACTACCCTAGTGCCTTTTAAACTATTAGATACAACTTGTAGCAATTTACTTGTAGTTAATCTAGTAGCAATTATAATTTGTAGTTTGATAATAGTAGAATATAAAGAAAACCCAAAAATGATTAGAAGTGATATTTGGAACAAATACGCAATTCCAACCTAAATAGATACTCGACTCCATTCCTAGATCTATGTGAAAATTGATCCCGACACACAAATCGGGTAAAAGCTATTGTGACCCTCTCTTCCTGCTTTTTAGTAGTGTGGGGTAGGATGCGATCAACCTCCTCTTCATCTTCTCCACTCTTAGATCCACTTGCACTCCCGGAGACATCGTCATTAGAAGAAAGCAACGCTCTAGCTTCGGTCTTGAGTACTTTCTCACTCTCGATCTCGATGGCAAGGTCAAAGCCACGAGCATGAATCTCCTCGATAGTCTCTCTATAAGACTGGCATGCTCGAAAATGCAGAATGCTCGAGCCTAAACAACATCGAAAATTTCTTTTACTCAAGCGTGAGCAGCTTCAGCGTCGGCTCGTTAGACGGCCATGACTGCCTCCGCGTCAGCCTTTACTTTTTCTGCCTCAGATGTGGTCTTCGCAATTTTGGCGGCCAATTGAGACTCGAGCTCCTCAATTCTCTTGGTTCGGGCCAAGTTCTCCTCTTTCATGCTTTGGAGTTGATGTTCATCCGATAACAGTTGGGCTCGAGCGGCCTCTTTCTTTTAGGCAAGGCGATCCATGTTTTGTTTCCACCCCAAAGTCTCCGCCTCCTTTATCATGGTCTCCTCGCGAAGTTGCTCGATCTTTTTGGCCTTTTTCTGAACCTGCAGGATCAAAGTGTTAGTCATCGTTACCGAATCAATATATCGATCTTCCAAAAAAAAATTATTACCTACTCAATCAGGTCCGTTTGTACTTTATGAGTTGTTGCCAATTCAGCTCGGAGGTTCTTGATCTCCTCTTCTTTTTGCCCAATGAGAAGTTTTAAGGCATCTCTCTTTTCCGTAAGCCTTTTGAGATCAGCCTCACATCGGCTCAGCTTTGCCCCAGGATTTAGAAGACGCTTCCTAATGAAGTGTCAAGGCTTATGAAGAAAGAAAGAAAATCATACAAGAGGGAATAAAAGACAAAAGTGATATTGATAAAGGGAGCTAAGACTTACCTGACTCAACAGTCGATGAGCCTCACTGAAGATACTCGATGCATCGCCTAGATCGGAGGAATCTTCGACCCCCGTAAAGCAGCCACGAAAAAGGTCTTCCCCTTCGTGGGTCGTTCCCATATCGAAGGGTCCTTATGGCCTAAGCTTCCTGAATTTGCCCCTCGAAAAATGTGGGGAGGGGCGAGTCGCTAATGTCTATTGCCCCAAACGAGTCACTTGGAGCATTCTCTTCATTTTGAAGGGCCTCGAACTTGGCCTCTTCAGGTACGACCACCGGTTGGCCATCACGACGGGAGGTATCTTTGGCCTCCGATGACTCAGGGACTTTGTCGGGCCATATTTCGAGATCCCCCCGGTCCGAGGCTGAACCTCTTCGATCATCACCGGCTCAGCGGCCTTTAGGACCTCGACACTCCTCTTTCGAGGCACCAATTCGAAGGCGACATCTTCATTCTCCTCTTTTTCATCTCGTAGCTGTTGAACTACATTTGCACGCAGGGCGGTGGTATCTTTTTTTTGACTTGCGAACCTTGCTTTTCTTGGTCTTTAGAGTATCAGAGGGTGAGACCCTTTTTCTCTTCTTATCCTTGGCCGGCTTCGGGGCCTCCTCCTCCTCTCCAAATGGGAGCCTCATGACAACATTGTCTTAGAGACCTGTATAAAAGGAAATCAAGTAGGAATAAAAAAAGAAACATTTTCAGAGAAGAGCATCAAACACGGGTAAAGAAACTTACCGTGATTTTTGGCCTCTCATCGGCCCTTTGCTAAATCACGCCACGAGTGCTCAACATACAAAGAGTTCGAGGCCAGCTTTCGAACCCAGTCCTCAAAGTTCGGGATTGCACCGGGCACCCAAGAAACCACTGTATCATATGAAAGAATGTCAATAAGAAAAGGCAAAAGAAGCAAAACAGAAGCTATATGTTGATTTGTACTTATGTTTCATATTCCACTCTTCGAGGAATGGCATCTTCTCGGCGGGAATTATGTTGGAAGTCCTCACTTGGACAAACCGGCCCATCTATCCTTGATCCTTGTCCTCATTTATGCTTGAGAACAACACCTTGGTGGCATGACGCTGGAGCCTTATTAATCTGCCTCGATAGAGACGGGGGATGTACAGTCTAATGAGATGGCCGAGGGTAAAAGGCATGCCCTCGACTTTGCTCACAAAAAATCAAAGTAGAATGATAATGCGCTAGAAAGAAGGATGGATCTGGCCTAGGGTTATTTGGTATTGGCGGCAAAAATCGAGGATAGTGGGGTCGACGGGACCCAACGTGAAAGGGTAAGTGTAAACAATTAAGAACCCTTTCATGTAAGTGGCGATGTCCTCTTCTAGGGTCGGAATCACCACCTCTTTGCCCTCCTAATGACAATCTTTCTTCACCTGTTTAAGGTCGCCCTCAGTTATCGAGCATATATATCTCGACATTGGCTCACATCGGCTAGAGACCGACGAGGGTTTCTCAACCTTGAAATCAGAAGTGAAATTGCACACCCCGGGAACACACTCCTCGAAACGTGGCTCTACCGACGTCTTGTCGCCGGCTGACCGCGATGAAGAAGCTTTCTCTTTTTGAGGATCGGTGTTTGATATTTTTGCCATCTTTATATGGATTCAGGGAAAGAAAAAGATGAGATTTGTAGTTTGGAAAAAAAGGGTTGGTAACGAGGCCTAGAAACTGTGCAAGGACGGAGAGGCTTGATAACATGTGAAGAACTTTGAAGATTTGCAGAAAGATTTGAAAAACTTAGAAGGATTTTGAAGATTAGTGCAAGAAATATTCAAAATAAAGTTTAAAGAGGTGAGAAAAATATCTATTGAAGGATTCACGACGACATTTCAAAGGTACTAGTGGCCGACCATCAAATGACGCTCATTAATGATCTTGGGAACCATATCGATGCGACACTTCGGTCGCTTCTGTTGCTTACGTCACAAGGGTGACATCATAACTGATCGAGGTATAAAATCGAAGGCTTAGTTCGTTTCTTCTCATTACACTCCAAGAAATGAGGGGACTATCTGTATACGGATAGAATTGGAACTTGTCCGATTTTGCCATTTTATCGAAAACTAGAGGCATCGCGTCGAGGGTCAGTCTCGTAATTGGTCAGGTCATAGCACGAAGATAAAGTATCAAGCTCGAGAATCGAGGTGCTCGTCGAGATCGAGACCAGTAGCGATCGAGACCATATATGACATACTTCGAACGAAGCGCAGTAACAAAAAGACGAGATATCCATAACCGGTCAAAGATCATGGCGGAAATCCCGGAACAAATCAGATCATGGGCGGTTGTTTGGGCTAATCATGGGATTTACTTCTCTAATTAGAGCTATACCATAATTAAGATTCCTCTAATATATAAAGAGGAGTCCCCATCACTTGTAGACACACATTCACACAGATCAAAGCAATAAAATATTTTCTCTTTAGTTTACGCTCTCTTGTTCATCATCTCGTTGCATTTTAACTGTTCTTACATAACTAGTCGAGGGTATCCGATCTCAAGGGCTCTGTCCAAACGTGTCCAAATACTAGTTTGCTTTATATTATTGTCAATTTCCATCTATTATCTTTACGTTTATCAATTGGTATTAGGTGAAATCAAGTATCTTTAAAACCACATTATAAATTTAATTTGTTATCCCACTTTCAGGGTAAACAATATATTAAGCCAAAACAGAGAGGAGATAGCAAATTGATAAGGAAAACCGACATTTCCCATCACATAAATATGGGATGAATAGACAAAATCCCACCTCAATTCGGATTATCCGCTAAAAACAACCCTCGTATCCGAGTCGGATAAAAGGGTATAATGGGCCAATCACACGGAACCACAACTAAATCCTTTTCCCCGCCACCCATTAAACAACCAAATACGAGTTTTATTTGAGGTTTCAGTTGAAACATCACCAAAGGCTCTTACCAAAGGCCAGAAAATGGCGTTAAGGCTTACACCATCTCCAGTGTCCACGTGCACTCGTGGAAAACCCAGACTCACTACACTTTTCACCTCAAGATCCAAATATTCCTTTCAATTTCGTCCAAAACCCTTCAGAATCTTGGAGTTGGAATCTAGAAAGATGAGTTTAAAGGTGAATGCTTGCCAGAAATTGGATGAGAAGATCGTATCAGAAAAGGGTAGCCAATGGGGAAAAGTGTCGGCGGTGTTGTTTGATATGGATGGAGTGCTTTGCAATAGTGAAGAACCTTCAAGAAGAGCGGCTGTGGATGTTTTTGCTGAAATGGGTGTTCAAGTTACTGTTGATGACTTTGTGCCGTTCATGGGCATGGGTAACATTCTTCTTCTTGGACACTCTCTTTATTAATTATTACATTCTTTTCATTTATTTGCGTTCTATGGTGTACTAGTTCAGGGTACTGGTGGAGATCATCATTGTTGAATCATATTTTTTTCATATGTCTGGAAAGAATTAGCCGACCCCAACAAGTTTGTGATTGAGAAGTAGTTTCTTGATTGATATGTTTGGGAACAAGACAATTTTCTAAAAAAAAAAGAGACAGATTTTGTGTGACTTCCCTTATCTGCTTTGGATATCACGCCTTAAGTTAGGTTAAAGCACAAAGCACTAGTCCCTCACTTTTAAGTTGGTAAATCTCTGTGCAGAAAGCAATTGTTCACTGCTACAGTCAGATTGCCTCATTATATCCTTATCTCAGCAATTGGTCATTTTCTTTAAAGCCATGCCAATGACTTTGGTGAAGTAATGATTAGGTCCTCTTCGGGGAACTTTGTTATGTAAGAAACAAGAGCACCATCATCTACCTCATTTGAATATCTGTTTTTTGTGAAGCTTCATCTCTAACACTTGCGTTACATAGTCATTCCTTTTCTCTGTGAGAACTTGTTGTTGTGAATCATTATCAAGTTAATTGCCATCGGATCCAAATACACCGGCTAAACTTTTTTTTTTCCAGTACTCATTTTTCGACCCCCAAGTAACGGACACATAAAAAAGTTGATGTAATGTTACTATCCTTTAGGAAAGCAAATTTTGAGTGTATGACACCTTTTTTCCTTTGCCATCTTTTGTCAATAACCTCTTCTCTTTTTCATTTTCTGTTGTCCTCGAAATAAATCAGGTGAAGCATACTTCTTAGGTGGTGTTGCTTCTGCTAAGAGTGTTGAAGGATTTGATCCCAACGCTGCAAAGAAGAGATTTTTTGAGATATATTTATCAAAGGTGATTGAAATTCTCATATTATTAAAAAATATCTCCTTTTTTTTTGATAAGGTTAAGAATATCTACTCTTAAAGCACTTTCCTTTTAGACATAGTAACTGACCCCAAAACTGACAATCATTTGTAGTACGCAAAACCGAATTCTGGCATAGGTTTCCCTGGTGCTTATGAACTTGTCTCTCAGGTATGTGACCTGTGTTGCAACTTGGCTCTATGTTCTTTCTCTTTCTTCTTTACTGCTTTTCATTAATTTGGTGATATGGTACAACAGTGTAAAAGCAGTGGTCTCAAAGTTGCTGTTGCATCTAGTGCTGATAGGATTAAAGTTGATGCAAACTTGGCTGCGGCAGGTTTACCAATAACGATGTGAGTTAACGTAATGCACTTTAGCTGTGAATAGTAGCCTCTCATTCTTTCTATAACCAGCATACAAGAGACACTGAATTGTACTGAATGAACACATGGTGAGAACTTCATTTTATTTGAAATTATCAGTATAAATATATTTTATTGCTGCATGCTACCTGATATCTATTCCTGAGATGCTTGGCTTTGTGAGTATAACTGCTGTTGTGGAATTGCTGGACATAAACTGTTTGTTGGGACTAGGGGTGGCAAAATGGTTCAAAGAAAACAGTTAACCACCCATATTATCCACTAAAAAATGGGTTGGATAATGAACTTTTTAAAGACAAATCAAATATGGATAAGAACCATATTATCCATTTAGAAAATGGATAACCAATGAGTAACCAATGGATAACCAATGGGTCTAACTTTTACATTTGTAAAGCCTCAAATTGGGGGTTCCTCAAGTTAGAGAAACTAAGAATTCTCCCAAAAGTGATCATATACAAGAAGTCATGGATAATATGGGTAACCCATATTATCCGCCGGTTAACCCGTTTTTTAATCCGTATTAAATATGGGTCGGGTCGGATAATTGATCCGTTTTTTCATTACCCGTTTTCAACCCGAACCATATCCGACTCGACCCGCCCGTTTGCCACTCCTAGTTGAGACAATGAATCTTTTAGTAGTGGAATATAGAGCTCAGACTCCAAAAAAGTTAAATATGCTTGGATCTGTGGATGTAGAGATTTCTGTGACTATTTTATTGTTCTATATCATGATTACTCTTAACTTTAAAATTTCTTCATAAGTTCAACTTGTCTGTTAGTAGTAATCTTGGTTGTCTGTATTTAGGAGTTTATATCTGGTTGTTAATCTTATCAGACAGATACCTGGTAGATGGTCCTAGCTCTAAGACAAAAGTATCAAAAGAGCTGTATGTCCGGGCACATAGTAGTGTACATGCATTTGTATGTATGCAATCACATGATCTATGAGTTGGTTGGTAACATAGTTTGGAAGAACATAGAACTTTATTGTGGTTTAAAAGTGAAAGTGTACACTTGTGACGAGAATGGCGGGTTTGCAGTGAAATAATTGAAAGCTTCCTCGCCTTTATCTTTAATTATCTTTTAATTTATATGTGACCTCATTTCCTGTTTCTTTCATTGACAGGTTTGATGCAATTGTATCTGCTGATGCTTTTGAAAATTTGAAGCCTGCTCCTGATATTTTCTTGGCTGCATCACGGATTCTTGATGTTCCCACTAGTGAGGTAGTTTCCAAAATGTGCAATGCTGTTTCGCTACCACCCATCACAATTTTTTGTAGACACTTAGCTCTGGGTAGTATGTGATGATAACCTGATGAAAAACTTCTAGTCGCTTAAGATATTACCAATTTCTGCATTCACATTTTGTTTAAGCGAGACTTCCCTACATTGTTATCCCCTTATGCCTGTAATCAGATGAAGCTTGCTGGAAAACACAATACAAGCAAAAAAGATAATGAGAAACTTGATAAGTGTGAGAAGGCACGGGAGAAAATATGATATATATTGATATATGGTGTGTGATGCAATACAAGAGGTGTTATTTATAGCTACTCTATACAAAGGGGATGCTACTCCTATTCCAATGTGGGACAATTACATAGCTATCTCTAACACTCCCCCTCAAGCCGGAG